TTAGTGGCAAAAAAAACCTTTTGGAATGTTCCTAGCATGTTTGACATTAGGGTGTGAGGCAGCCAAGTAACTTCACCTACATATATATATGGACATTTCAAGCTGTACCTGTAGCTTTATAAAGGACTCTTTTGTTCAATAGAATAGGTGTTTGTGACCAAAATGTTGCTTCTGGATCTGACCAAAGCCCCTCATATTTCTGGCCAAACAAGAACAGTACGTGTTCACATCTAGGCAGTGCATACTACTATAAATAGTGTGTTGCAACAGGAGTGAGTTACCATTTTTACTGAAAAATGATGATTTGGGTTTAGACTATAGCAATAATGTGTGGTTTCTAAGCAAATCTTGGAGTTTAGAAATGGGCACGCCAAAGAGGCAAGGGGTGTAACAGCTTGAACAATATAGGAGGTCAATATTTGGATCTCATTAGTGAATATGGTACATTTCCAATCCTGGGATCTCTTCTCTCATCTTACTCACTTTCCAGTGGCATGAGAATAGAAATAAGTAAGACAATTTGATGACTTTTAGAGCTTTTTCCAAAGCTGATGTCTTAAATGAAAGTTTCAATTCAAAATCATACATGATGTGTGAACTGTACCATATTCCTGAAATCACCAGATGGCATCCTTTTTTCCACTAGTGAGTCAGAAGATGCAGTATATTTGTCTCCCTCTGACAAGATGACATGAGGTAACTCCAAACTGTTACATCCCTAGACTTTTTCATATTTCACCTTTAACTACACATGACATTAAACACATATTTGGAAGAGAGAATGCTTAACACTGTCAGTTTTATTTTGAAGGAAAGGTAGCCAACTAAGTAAAGCAGTCATCAAACAGTCAATGATATTAATTTTTGTGTTTATTTGCTTCAATCTATTGAACACTACAGGAAATCTTCACAGCAGAGTAGTTTATGCAATCTATAAATAAATGAACAATAAATAGCAATCTAAGAGTCAGTGTGATATAGTGTTTTAAGCATTTTACTACGATTCTGGAGACTAGGGTTCAAGTCCCTGCTGGGCCCATGGGAACCCACTGGGTGAGCCTGGTGAAGTCACACTCAGACACAGATAAAGGAATAAACCTAGCCAAGAAAACCCTGTGTTGGGTCGGAAAGGACTAGGCACAAAACAATAACAACAACAGCAACAACAAATAGCAATCTCTCTCCTTTCCCACTGCCCTACACCAGAGGCTGGAAAAAAACAAAACAAAGGGAATGCCCAGGTAGACATTTCTCAGGTTTATGGATGTAAATAATATTTTAAAAATTGAAAAAATTGCTGAAAAACAGTTTTATTGAATGTCAGGAAACCCCGAAGAAGAGAATTGTAGATGGGTAAAAATGTTTACAGATTCAGGACTAATTTTTCACACAAAATGCCTGTGGATTTTTATGCCCATTGGCATTAAAATGTTCTTTGTGTAAGATGCAACATTTTTGTGCGGAAACCAATTTTCCTTCAGGGAAATAGTATTATTTCATATGCCAAAACTCTTGAAATGCAGTTGTGTGCATAATTTTGTAAATAGTCTTTGAAAAACACCTAGTTGTTGGGTGATAGTCTCACTGCAAGGAGGAAAGTGATAAAATTAGTTGTCCTTGCCTGCATGAATGAAATTTATGAAGATTTACATCCCTATTCAGACCCTAAGCATGGCATTTCCTCTTTCTTCGGGTGTTGTATGCAAAGAAGAATTGGGCTTAATCATACAGAGGAGTGAGTGAGGAAAATGGTAGCTTTTCTTTGAAGAATTTTTGCCTATTCACTCCTGAGTGGTATGTCCCAACCACTACATGGTCTAGAGCAAGCATGGGCAAACTTTGGCCCTCAAGGGGTTTTGGACGTCAACTCCCACAATTCCTAACAGACTATTAGGAATTGGAGAAGTTGGAGTGCAGAACTGCTGTAGGACTGAAGTTTGCCCTTGCCTGATCTAGAGGGAGGAAGCAAGCAACTAAAAAGGTTGTAGCACCAGTGTCCTGCCCTCTGTGCTGCTATACGCAGGAACACACAGACAAAGGGAGAAAGAAGGAGGCTGAGAGAGACACAGAGAGATGAAAAGGCAGCAGACACTGTTCCTCTAGAACCTAGAGTTCAAAGTACAGTATATTCTGGCGTATAAGACTACTTTTTAACCCAAGAAAATCTTCTCAAAAGTCAGGGGTCGTCTTATACGCGGGTGTAGTCTTATGCATGGGAGTCGTCTTAACTCTATATTTTAACTGGAAAAGTTGGGGGTCGTCTTATACGCCCAGTCGTCTTATATGCCGGAATATACGGTAAGCAAAAGGGAGGATGACACCGGTTATTTTTTTGAAACATTTCTGTGCTAAGAGATCTCAGGAACCTTGGCATGGGAATGACCTGGGAGAATTGGAGGCAAGTTCTCTCAGATGGAGCAAGATGGAAAAACTACTTTTTGTAAAGATGGCTCATCTAAACACAGAAGGTTTAAGGTCTGAATGGGGACCTATAAAAGGGGGGCCTTCCTAGTCACAATGTCAATGTGAACAATTACCAGAATGCAGATAGCTGCTTTATATACTCATGTATAAGTCTAGAAATTTTAGCCAAAATACCAATCCAATCAACCTGGGTAGACTTATTCATCTGTCAGCATAAGTACTCTACCATAACTCACATTCAAAAACTATCTCTGAGTAGAGTGGTAAGAGGCAAGGGCTTAGCCCATCCTTGGAGAACCTGAACTGCCAGCTTCCTTGGCCATACTTCTAGCCTTTTTGAATGTTTGGGTGGGGAAATGGCAATGGCAGCCAAGAGTGGCTGGTCCCCCGAGATGGAGTTGGTACTCTCCACTCTTTGTGGAATGACCCTTGACTTATCTATTGGTCATATAAAAATGCATAATTTGGTCCCAAAACCAACTCTCAACTTAAACATGATCTTCATGTACATGCGAATATATACAGTAAGTGAGCATACCCCATTTCATAGTGCAAAATGATCTGAGAAATTGAGAAATAAGTCCCAATTTTAAAAAAAAATGCCAGAAGGGTTATGTTTACTAATCTTGCAAAATATTGCAATAGAAGGGAGGAAATTGTCATAAATGCATGTGTCCATCCTTGGCTCAGGACTGATGTACTGGGGCTGAACTCCCTTCTTATAGGCCCTACTTGGGGGAGTTTCCTTGTTTTTCTATAACCTTCACTGCAGCAGTGGAAAATAAAAAGCTTTGCTATTTACTGGTACCTCACCAATGAACTCTTCTTCTTTCACAACGAAAAGGATTGCTAACTGCCCTTTTTGCTTTTCCAAATGTGTGTTTCATATCATGCACAGTTAGGCAGATAGCATCAGAGTCCCACACCAATTAGGTCACCTCCTGGACTTGTTGGCTGGCTAGGCACAGCTGAGAAAATATATATTGTATGTGGTTACAGGCACAAAGACAGCATAACAGGCCAGTTCCCAGGCTCAGTGACCCCAAACACTCCAATCTACTTTGCAACAAAGTCAGAAATATACCGAAGAACTTGGATCGCAGCCCAAACATTTGTACTCCTCTGTTCATACCTTCAAGGTTCTAAAGAGGTGATTTTGGGTCCACTTTAATGTGTTGTCAACGCTTTCACAGATGGAATCACTGGGTTGCAGTGAGGTTTCCGAGCTGTATGGTCATGTTCCAGAAGCATTCTCTCCTGATGTTTCACCCATATCTATGGCAGGCATCCTCAGAGGTAGAGGGGTCTGTTGAAAACGAAGTAAGTGACGTTTATATATCTGTGGAATGTCTAGAGGGGGAGAAAGAACTCTTGTTTATAGAGAAACATGTGAATGTTGCAATTGGCCACCTTGATTAACATTTAATGGTCTGCAGTTTCAAGGCCTGGCTGGATGCTGCCTGGGGGAATCCTTTGTTGGGAGGTGTTAGCTGGCCCCAATTGATTCTTGAAATACACTAAAGAACTTGGACAGCAGCCCAAAAGTCTGGACTCCTGTGTTCATACCTTCGAGGTTCTAAAGAGGTAGATTTGGGTCTGGCTGGAAAGGTGAATACTCCCACTTTAATGTGTTTTCAAAGGCTTTCATGGCTGGAATCACTGGGTTGTGGTAAGTTTTCTGGACTGTATGGCCATGTTCCAAAAACATCCTCTCCTGATGTTTCGCCCACATCTATGGCAGGCATCCTTAGAGGTTGAGGGGCCTGTGGAAACTAAGTAAATGAGGGTTATATATCTGTGGAATGTCCATGGTGGGGGAAAGAACTCTTGTCTGCAGAGGTATGTGGGAATGTTGCAACCGACCACCTTGATTAACATTTAATGGCCTGCAGTTTGAAGGCCTGGCTAATTGTTGCCTGGGGGAATCCTTTGATGGGAGGTGTTAGGTGTCCCTGATTGATTATTGTGTGGAATTCCACAGCTTTTTGAGTCTTGCTCTGTATTTACTGTTCTGATTTTTGAGACTTTTTAACACTGGTAGCCAAATATTGTTCATTTCCATGGTTTCCTCCTTTCTGTTGAAACTGTCCACATGCTTGTGTATTTCAGTGGCTTCTTTGTGTAGTCTGACATGGTAGTTGTTAGAGTGGTCCAGCATTTCTGTGTGCTCAAATAATATGCTGTGCCCAGGTTGGTTCATCATGTACTCTGCAATGGCTGACCCCTCTGGTTGAATTAGTCTTCAGTGCTGGATTGTTGTGAGTTTTCCGAGCTGTATGGCCATGTTCCAGAAGCATTCTCTCCTGACGTTTCACCTGCATCTATGGAAGGCATAGAGGTCTGTAAGATCTGCCTTTCATGTTCTTTGATTTGTGAATACTTCCACTTTCTTTTCCTGAGAGGCATCTCTCCCCAAGCCTGCACCGTTTACTTTCAATAAACACACACCTTCCCCAGAAGAGGAGGAAGAAGGAAGGAAAGAATAAACGAAAGAAAGGAGGAGGTGGGCGCCAGGAGGAGAGCAGAGCCGCCCAGCTTGAGCAAAGGATCATGTTCTCGAAGGTGTCGCTCCCTCCTCGCCTTGCCAGGCATCCCTTCAGAGTCTCAAGCACACAAACAGAGAGAAACTCTGACAACTTCTTCCAGTCGGTGGTCAAAGCCGGGGCGTGGGGCGGGAGGTGGCGTGAGGGGTGTTTTCTTCAGGGCCGGAGCCAAGAAGGGCAGGGCGCCTTCTCCACAAGACCCCGAGGAAAGGGGAGAGAGGGACTCAGGCGGAGAGAGAGAGAGAGAGAGAGAGAGACGGAGGGGAGGAAGAGAAGGAGGAGAAAAGAAGAGGAGAAAGAGGCTGCTGCTGCTGCTGCTGCTGCCTGAGGAGGAGAGACGCTGCCCGGTGCGCGCTTCTGGGACACAACTCCCTCCTCTTCCATCCCATCCCTTCCTTTCCTTGGAGGGCGGCTGCTCTCGAGCTCTGACCACTGGGCCCTTGTTCCTCGCTGTCGCCTTCTTATCCGACGTGGGGTTTCCATTGGACTCAAGGCGGCGCGCTTTCTCACCCTCAGACTTTCTCCTCGCCTCGGGACTTGCCTTGCACCTTTAGCCTGCGAGGAAAGCACCCAAAGGAGGACACAAACCCGAGACCGACGAAGCTGAGGACACCCCACCCCAACTTCTCAAGCCCCCAACTGTTTCAAAACTCTTCTTTCTTTGGCGGGGCAGCATCCTCCTCACCTTGAAGCAGCGCGAAAGGTAAACCATGTCGAAGGGAATGGGATGGGCAGCTCAGGGAAAGGGCACATTCGGTCCAGCGGCTCCTCTCTCAACCAATGGAAGGCTCCCGTTGCTATGAGATTCCCAGGACTTGAGAGAAGGTCTCCTTTCCTCCTTTGAGGCTGGGGAAGTTACTTGTGCAGAGGCGGCAGGCGGGCTGTTCCTCCGTAGCCCAAGGGAAGGAGGCTCCTGCGCCCCTCGCTTCCATCCAGGGCTGGGGAGCCTTGGCTTCCAGCCAGCCAGCCAGCCAGCCAGCCAGCCTCCCTTGCACCTCGCCCCAGCCTTGGTTGAGGAAGGGGGCTTGCTCACAGGCTCCCTCGCATTCCTTCACCTCCAGAGCTGGGGCGAAGGAGATTGTCGCCAACCTCCTTGCCTCTTGCCAGAGCCTTGGCTGAGCAGGAAGGAAGGAGACCTGTCTTTTGAAAGCTGTAGTCCAAAAACTTTCTCAAGCTCTGGAGTCATATAGCATGATGGAGTTTCTGACTTCTTTACAGCTAATTTATTTCCATCATTACCTGTCTGCTGAGGAGCCTTTCATAACATTAGTAAGGTAAAGGTTTTCCCCTGACATTAAGTCCACTCCTGTCCAACTCTGGGGGTTGGTGCTCATCTCTATTTCTATGACAAAGAGCTGGTGTTGTCCGTAGACACCTCCAAGGTCATGTGGCTGGCATGACGACATGGAGCGCCATTACCTTCCCACTGGAACAGTACCTCTTGATCTACTCACATTTGCATGTTTTCAAACTGGTAGGTTGGCAGAAGCTGGGGCTAACAGCAGCAGCTCACATCGCTCCCCGGATTCAAACCTGCGACCTTTCGGTCAGCAAGATCAGCAGCTCAGCGCTTTAACCCACTGCACCACCAGGGGCTCCATTTCATAACATTGATACGCCATTTAACCTTTTGTAGGAGGAATTGGGGTCCCCTGGTGGCGCAGCGGGTTAAACCATTGAGCTGCTGAGCTTGCTGACCGAAAGGTTGGTGGTTTGAATCCAGGAAGCGGGGTAAGCACTCACTATTAGGCCCAGCTTCTGCCAACCTAGCAGTTCAACCTAGCGGTATGCTTCTGCGGGAAGGTAACAGCGCTCCATTCAGTCATGTCGGCCACATGACCTTGGAGGTGTCTGTGGACAATGCTGGCTCTTCAGCTTAGAAATGGAGATGAGCACCACCACCCCAGAGTCGGACACCACTAGACTTAATGTCAGGTGAAACCTTTACTTTAGGAGGAGTTTCGAGATGATGATAGGAAACTTGTCTATTCAGTCTTGTAAGGTTTTTTCTTTTTTGTTGCCTGTCCACCCTTTCTAAATGTCTTATTTCCTTTCCACCCATTCCTTTCCTGAGTTCATTCCTTGCTTATTAGAAGCGAAGCAATGCTATTTCAAAGCCTCTGAAAGTGGAAAGGCATTTGTATTGAAGAAATAATGGTCTTTGACCCCACTTTAGCGGCCAGGGCTCAATGCTGTGGCATCATGGGAGATATAGTTTGGTTGGCACCAGCCCCCTTTAATAAAGCAGGCTAAAGCTCTTACAATACTACAACTTCCAGAGCATGGAGCTGTGGCAGTTAAAGTGGGATCAAACTGCATCAAAGTACCCTTAGTCCAATGGTTCTCAACCTTCCTAATGCCCTGACCTCTTAATACAGTTCCTCATGTTGTGGTGACCCCCAATCATAAAACTATTTTCATTGCTTTTCATAGCTGTAATTTTGCTACTGTTATGAAATGCAATCTCCAGCAAAGGATCACCGCCTTGTCGGGGCGCTGGAGCTTGAGCACCTCAATGATGTCATGAGCGAAACCGTGAAGGGCCACCCAAGACGGGACGGTTGTGGCAGAGAGGTCAGACCAAGCGTGATCCCTGGGGAAGGCAATGGCAAACCACTCCAGTATCCTTGCCAAGAAAACTAAATGGACCAGTACAACCAGAGATATGTCGGTATGCCATTGGAAGATGGGACTCCCAGGTCGGAAGATGGCCAAAATGCTACTGGGGAGGAGCAGAGGATAAAGTTCAACTAGCCCCAGATGTGATGACGCAGCTAGCTCAAAGCCGAAAGGAAGGCTAGCGGCCGACGGTACTGGAGGTGAACGACGAATCCGATGCTCTAAAGATCAACACACCATAGGAACCTGGAATGTAAGATCTATGAGCCAGTGCAAATTGGATGTTGTTATTGGCGAGATGTCAAGACTAAAGATAGACATTCTGGGGGTCAGCGAACTGAAATGGACTGGAATGGGCCACTTCACATCAGATGACCACCAGATCTACTACTGCGGACAAGAGGAACATCGAAGAAATGGAGTAGCCTTCATAATTAATAAGAAATTAGCTAAAGCGGTGCTTGGATACAACCCAAAAAATGACAGAATGATCTCAATTCGAGTGCAAGGAAAGCCTTTCAACATTACAGTGATCCAAATATATGCCCCAACCACAGCTGCTGAAGAAGCAGAAGTAGATCAGTTCTATGAGGATCTGCAGGACCTACTGGATAATACACCAAAAAGAGACATTATTTTCATTACAGGAGACTGGAATGCCAAGGTGGGAAGGCAAATGACAACTGGGATCACAGGCAAGCATGGTCTGGGAGAACAAAATGAAGCGGGACGCAGGCTGATAGAATTTTGCCAGGAAAACTCGCTGTGTATAACGAATACTCTCTTCCAACAACCTAAAAGACGGCTTTATACATGGACCTCACCAGATGGTCAACACCGAAATCAGATTGACTACATCCTTTGCAGCCAAAGGTGGCGGACATCCATCCAGTCGGTGAAAACAAGACCTGGGGCTGACTGTAGCTCAGATCACGAACTTCTTATTGCACAATTTAGAATAAACTAAAGAGATCAGGGAAAATACACAGACAAGTTAGATATGATCTCACTAACATTCCTAGCGAATATACAGTGGAAGTGAAGAACAGATTTGAAGGACTAGATTTAGTAAACAGAGTCCCAGAAGAACTATGGACAGAAGTCCGCGACATTGTTCAGGAGGCGGCAACAAAGTACGTTCCAAAGAAAAAGAAAACCAAGAAGGCAAAATGGTTGTCTGCTGAGACACTGGAAGTAGCCCAAGAAAGGAGGAAAGCAAAAGGAAACAGTGAAAAGGGGAGATATGCCCAGTTAAATGCGCAATTCCAGAGGTTAGCCAGAAGAGATAAGGAACTATTTTTAAATAAGCAATGCAGGGAAGTGGAGGAAGACAACAGAATAGGAAGGACAAGAGACCTCTTCCAGAAAATTAGAAACATTGGAGGTAAATTTCAGGCAAAAATTGGTATGATAAGAAACAAAATGGCAGGGACCTAACAGAAGCTGAAGAGATCAAGAGAAGGTGGCGAGACTATACAGAAGATCTGTATAGGAAGGATAATAATATCGAGGATAGTTTTGACGGTGTGGTGAATGAATTAGAACCAGACATCCTGAGGAGTGAGGTGGAATGGGCCTTAAGAAGCATTGCTAACAACAAGGCAGCAGGAGACGACGGGATCCCAGCTGAACTGTTTAAAATCTTAAAAGATGATGCTGTCAAGGTGATGCATGCCATATGCCAGCAAATATGGAAAACACAAGAATGTCCATCAGACTGGAAAAAATCAACTTATATCCCCATACCAAAAAAGGGAAATGCGAAAGACTGCTCAAACTTCCGTACAGTGGCCCTTATTTCACATGCCAGTAAGGTAATGCTCAAGATCCTGCAAGGAAGACTCCAGCAATACATGGAGAGAGAGTTGCCAGATGTTCAAGCTGGGTTTAGAAAAGGCAGAGGAACAAGAGACCAAATTGCCAATATCCGCTGGATAATGGAGAAAGGCAGGGAGTTTCAGAAAAACATCTACTTCTGCTTCATTGACTATTCTAAAGCCTTTGACTGTGTGGATCATAATAAATTGTGGCAAGTTCTTGGTGGGATGGGCATCCCAAGACACCTTCCCTCTCTCCTGAGGAATCTGTACAAGGACCAAGTAGCAACAGTCAGAACTGACCACGGAACAACAGACTGGTTCAAGATTGGGAAAGGCGTACGGCAAGGCTGCATCCTCTCACCCAACCTTTTTAACTTGTATGCAGAACACATCATGCGATGTGCGGGGCTGGATGAAATGCAAAGCTGGGGTGAAAATTGCTGGAAGAAACATTAACAACCTCAGATATGCAGATGACACCACTCTGATGGCCGAAAGCGAGGAGGAGCTGAGGAGCCTTCTAATCAAGGTGAAAGAAGAATGCGCAAAAGCCGGGTTGCAGCTAAACGTCAAAAAAACCAAGATTATGGCAACAAGAATGATTGACAACTGGAAAATAGAGGGAGAAACCGTGGAGGCCGTGACAGACTTTGTCTTTCTAGGTGCAAAGATTACTGCAGATGCAGACTGTAGCCAGGAAATCAGAAGACGCTTACTTCTTGGGAGGAGAGCAATGTCCAGTCTCGATAAAATAGTGAAGAGTAGAGACATCAAACTGGCAACAAAGATCCGCCTAGTCAAAGCCATGGTATTCCCTGTAGTAACCTACGGATGTGAGAGCTGGACCTTAGGGAAGGCTGAGCGAAGGAAGATCGATGCTTTTGAGCTGTGGTGTTGGAGGAAAGTTCTGAGAGTGCCTTGGACTGCGAGAAGATCCAACCAGTCCATCCTCCAGGAAATAAAGCCCGACTGCTCACTGGAGGGAAAGATACTAGAGACAAAGTTGAAGTACTTTGTCCACATCATGAGGAGACAGGAAAGCCTAGAGAAGACAATTATGCTGGGGAAAGTGGAAGGCAAAAGGAAGAGGGGCCGACCAAGGGCAAGATGGATGGATGGCATCCTTGAAGTGACTGGACTGACCTTGAGGGAGCTGGGGGTGGTAACGGCCGACAGGGAGCTCTGGCGTAGGCTGGTCCATGAGGTCACGAAGAGTCGGAGACGACTGAACGAATGAACAACAACAACAACATGAAATGCAATG